CTGAGCCACCCAGGTGCCCCAGGTTTATTCTTTTTCTTAGATATTTAACTCCGACTTATTACAACCTTCGATGCCACCGCAGTGAGAAAAACAGGTCACCAAAAATGGAGCCAAGTCGTTTGGGCTGGCAGAAGTTGGAAGGGGAATCTGGAAAGCCCCAGGCAAGGTGGAAAGCTTCTTTTCTACTAAATGAGTGTGGGTAAGTCATCCAGGGACTTTCCACTCCTCCTTAAAGATGAGCCACTCCCGCCAACTCCCGGGACAATCAAGGAAATGCTCCAAGCCGGAGAACTCCAAAGCAGATACGACTTCTGACCATGTCATTCTGACCTGCGGTGATTTTTCTGTATGACTACAGCTTAACCACAGGTTGGTGTCTCTAATTCTGGGCAATAAGAAGGTTCTTGTTCTTTCCCCATCAAAGGAAACCCTCCCAGTTGGCTTTCATCCGCAACAAAACTTACGTCACAATTGGCTCGGCCCCCATTACCACATCTTTGCTCTCTCAGGGTCTGTAAGAGAAGCAGGGAGCACCCATGTCACGTGAGGCTTCCCACCACCAACCTCCCCCCCTCCCACGACCAGACGCCCTGGGAGACGGGGACCCAGGCTCCCGCCTCGTACCAGGTGTTTGAATTCTGCAGACAGGCTGCCGTTGTTAGACTCTTCCATGTTCATCACTTTTGTGTTTGTGCCCAGAATGTTAAACTTCCGGGATCTGAATCACAGCAGAGAAACCAACCACATAGGTGACGGGGTAGCCAGAGGACAAAGTCAGATTAAACAGATCAAAAGGAAGCCTCCAGGCTGAACTTACCCTCTGAGAGCTGCAACATCCCCGGAGTCTCTGTTAAGAGTATAAACTGGTGTTAATAAAACTGGCCCTGTGTTTCTTCAAAAAAATACCTGTCATTTACTCTGCTGGAAAAACCACTGTTCTCCCGGGAATTTCTGTAAATGATTCAATTACATTTTATATGTGACATATGACAACCCTCTCCATACCTACCCAGCATCAACTCCCTCTTCCCAACAGACCCTTGGTTCTGCTCAAGTATCCTTCCCATGCCCACCTCCAGGGGATCCTGATCGTTAAGTACATCAGAGCGGAGCATGCCCACAGCGCAGTGGTCCTGGGGGTGAGGACATGACCTATGCTGTCTCACTCAGACTGGGAAGGAATTACAACCCAGGCTGGATTTACTGTCCACAGCTTCAACGGAATATGAGCAAGGAAGCATGGGACCTTAACTACCACAAGCAACCACACTGGAACTCATAAGGGAATCTTACAAAGCCAGTAATACTTATGATGGCCGAGAAGGCAAATGGAAGATTCTGGGTCCTGGGTGACATAAGTGAGTCACTAATCTCACTGTCAGGAACTTGCCCTAACTCTGCATTTCCAGTTACACTGGGCTGCAAATTTCCTTTATTATTTAAGTCACACTGGGTTTTCTCTAAAGGTTTACTATTACCGGCAACTCAGATCATCCCATTTGATATTAGCTGGACATAGTCCTCCCAGCGTGTCCACTGTCTTTCAGCTCTATGTGTTTGAATATATAGTTTTTTATATAGTCACATTTCTCAGTCTTCTCCTTTCTTCCTTTTTTATTTTAAGTACTGTTTTAAAAGTGCTTCTCCATTGCTATATATGCACTAATATAGCTACTATTTATTAAATAGAGCATTTTGTGGGGGTTTACAGATTAAAATTGATCAAATTTTAAACCATTCAGAAGATACCTTTCCATATATCACATTTTAAAACTTAAGAGTTCTTGTTACCAGGAAATTCTCCCTCATGTTTAATCTAGATTTCCTTTTTATTTTTTTAAGATTTTTATTTATTTGAGAGAGAGAGAGAGAACGAGCAGGGAGGAGGGGCAGAGGGACAGAGGGATTTATTTGACAGAGAGAGACACAGCGAGAGAGGGAACACAAGCAGGGGGAGTGGGAGAGGGAGAAGCAGGCTTCCTGCTGGGCAGGGAGCCTGATGCGGGGCTCGATCCCAGGACCCCAGGATCATGACCTGAGCCGAAGGCAGACGCTTAACGACTGAGCCACCCAGGCACCCCTCTAGATTTCCTTTTTAGAAAAAAAAATTTTGTATTACAGCTTTGATATATAATTGATGAACAATAAAGTACACTATTGAAAATGTATGTGGATAAGGTCTGACATATGTATACATGCTACGCATACTGTGAAATCATCAGCACAAACCAAATAATGAACATACCCATCATCCCCAAAGTTTCCCCAGGCCCATTTGTAATCCATTCCCAAATCCCACACTCCACCCCACCTCTGTCCCCAGGCCACCACTGATCTGCTTTCAGTCACCATAGATTCATTTTCATTTCTAGAATTCTATATAAATGGAAACTGAAGCACGACTCTTTTTTTTTTCTTGGTTTGGCTTCTTTCACTCAGTGTAATTATTTTGAGATTTCTTATGTGTTGCAAGTATTGATAATTCATTCCTCTTTATTGGTAAATGATATTCCATTTATAGATATACCACAAATTATGATGCTCCAGTGGCACAATTGGTCAGTGCATGCTTATAGATATGCCACGAATTGTTTATTCATTCACCTATTAACGGACAATTTGTGTACAGCCCTTTGTGTGCCTATATACTTTCATTTCTCTTGGGTTAATACCTCGGAGTGGAATGATAGGCTCCTAGGGTAGGTGCCTGTTTAACTTCATAGGAAACTGCCAAATTCTTTTCCAAAGTGGTTTTACCATTTTGCAATTTTACCATCATTGTATTATATATACATTCACCTACGCTTTTAAGATGCATGAGTTTAAACATATAGATACCTCTGATGGTTAGCAAACAGTGAAACTCAAGTTTCTCATTCAAATCCTCCCCAAGAGCAGGTATTCCCAAAACTACTTCCTGAATAATCCATCCTTTACTCATTGATTAACTTGAAGTCTATTTCTGGACTCAAGATTTTCTTTCAATGATCAATCAGTTTATTCCTGCCCTAGTAACACACTCATTTAGTAACTGAAACTCTACAGTTTAATATCTGGCAGGGCATCTTCCCACACCACTCCCATTTATTTTTATTCACTAAAAAATTTTTTTCTAGGGGCGCCTGGGTGGCTCAGGTGGTTAAGTGACTGCCTTCAGCTCAGATCATGATCCCGGGGGTCCTGGGATTAAGCCCCACGTCTGGCTCCTTGCTCAGTGGGGAGCCTGCTTTTCCCTCTCCCTCTACCTGCTACTCCGCTTGCTTATGTTCTCTCTCTTTCTGTCAAATAAATAAATAAATAAAAATTCTTTATTTAAAAAAA